AAAAGTTGTTGAATGTTTGAAAAAAGAATTTGAGATGAAACATTTTGGAAAAATAAAGTACTGTTTCGGCCTGCAAATCGAGTATACGTTAAATGAAATTCTTATTCATCAAACAACCTATACTGACAAGGTCTTAAAGCGGTTTAGCATGGATAAAACATATCCATTAAGTACTTCAATGGTTATTCGATCTCTTGATATCAATAAGGACTATTTTCATCCTAAGGAGGAAAATGAGATGTTTCTTGTGGTCCTGAAGTATCATACCTAAGTACAATTGATGTTTTGCTGTACTTAGCACAATATACTAGGCTTGTATAGCATTTGCAATCAACTTGTTAGTAATATTTAGTTCTGCACCAACTCGACGATATTGGAAAGGCGTAAAACATGTCATACGCTATCTTCATGGAGCTACAGATTTGGGTTTGTTATACTCAAAGCAATCAGCCAATGGTCCATACATATTAGATCCCCACAAGGCTCGTTCATAAATTGCATATGTTTTCACATGTGGTGAACAATCTCATGGCGACCTACCAAGCAGACTTTGATTGCTACATCTTCTAATCATTCTGAGATATTTGCACTCCATGAAGTGAGTCGTGAATGTGTGTGGTTAAGATCCGTAGTCCATCATATCCAAAATACTTGCAGACTTCCTTTGATTACAAATTCACCAACAACCTTATATGAAGATAATGTTGCTTGCATTGCATAAATTAAATAAGAGTCTATCAAAGGTGATAGAACTAAGCATATTTCGCCAAAGTTTTTCTACACTCATGAACTCCAACAAAATCATAAAATTGAAGAAAAACATATACGATCTAGTGACAATCTTGCAAATGTATTTACTACAGTTTTATCATCATCAATGTTCCAAAAATTGGTATATGACATTGGAATGCATCGATTTTGTGACCAATCCAATTGATTTCTTATCAAGGGAGATTTTCATCAAGGAAAGCATCCACATTAAAGATGTAGGACATATGCACGTTGTACTCTTTTTCCTTCATCTAGATTTTGTCCCATTGGGTTTTCCTAATAAGGTTTTAATGAGGCAACATTAGTGTGTCCAACACTATTCTAAAATTCATTTGAATATGTACTCTTTTTTCTGCGCTGGATTTTTTCCCATAACATTTTTCTAGTAAGGTTTTAACGAGACATATTATCTTAGCATAGTAGTCATCTAAGGAGGAGTGTTGTAAATATATTTTATATAGATATGGATGAACTCTAGCATACTAATTTAATAAGTGTTAATATATGACTCTATAACCTTTACCCAGAGTTAATATTGTATTTGATGACCGTTATGATTTGAGACCTATAAAAAGAGATATTCACCACATTCACAAGTTTGTCATGCAACACCCAAATAAAGGTAAAAAAATAAATTAACCAATCAACAAAACCAAAACTCATTCAAGGGAAATGTTATGTAGACTTAAAAGGTAGATTTGATCAAATACAACCATTGAATATGTAATGTGTCCTAATAAATATTGAAATACACAATAAAACCAATGACAGTGATTGATCAAGTCTACATTTTAAGTCTATGTAGCATTGTTCCTCATTCAAATAGCACTTTACATTCCTTCCCTATATCCCCGTCTACATCCCTTTTATTTCCCCATTCGACCTGCAATACCTTTTCCATCACTCTTGCTTCGACAGCCCCTTCCCCTTCTCTTTTCCCAACCTGCAATCCCCGTCTTCTTTTTCCTTCCCCACCCCAGCCCATAAAACTCCCTCCCTCATTATGTCGATGACATTACCCATAACATTCCAAACTCCATGGCAGTCGACCACCACCACTGTCCTAACAAAACTATACAAGTTCTATGACTCATACAAACAAAACCTATATAAGCCACCAGTTTACACAGTATTCAACAAATCTATACAACAGTTTTCAAAAATATTAAGCAAATATATACACAATGCCAAAAAAACATTACAATAGAAACAATAGTTAAGGAAGAACAAAACCAAAATATTAATTCCATCAACTTGGAACCAAAACCCATTAGCAATACATTAATTCCATTTTCAATAACTTGGAACCAAAATAAAAATTGAGAATTATCGAATGTAGATGGTGGTGGTTGTGTAAGTTCGGATGTTGTGTTTGTCGCAGGGGGAAGCGAAGGAGACTGGCCATAAGCAAGGGCTGAAGAAAATTTACATGGTGGTTGGTCGCTGTGGGGAGAGAGAGTGATCAGAACATATGATTCTTAATTAGCATTTGGGATGAAAGTAGGGTCATTCAAGCATTCCGAATATCAGTGTCAATCAATTGATTATATAGGTGGTTTCATGACATATTAGCTTTAGTAATGTTATGTTTACCAAATTTCTTATCAAGTTTTTCATCCCATGATTCAATCTTTATCATTGAATATTAATAAGACCTGCTTATTTAATGGTGAAAACTGTTTCACATCACTTTAGATGAAAATTTTGATAAAAAAATCTTGGTTAGCATAACATTTTTATATTAGCTTTGATTAGCAGTTGTGATGAACATAAGGTCCTTCAAACATTCAAGATAAAACCATATACCAATATGACATTTCTACTTGTGTTTGGATTTATATATAGTTGGGCATTGATTTTTGGCAGTTCACCCATACACAAGTACGAAATGAGTCGGAGTATTAGATATGAGTTAATGTAAGATAATAGAGGATTTCTTTTATGTAAGAATAATGGTGTGTATTGTATTAGAACTTGTATTATGATGTTATAAGTATGACAAGTATTCAATTTGATAAGTATAACAAATATTCAATTCGATAAGTATATTTGTGTAGGTACAAATGAATTTTTTTTTATAGGTGATTTTATGTTAGTTTTTATCAAGTTTAAGATATTGAATTTTTTTAAATGAAACAATCAATCCAAGTAACCTCTCTATACCTTTCGAAAAAACATCTTTGTTTTCATTATTTTTTGAATTACTGTCAAAACATATTTTTATTATTTTCTGTTCCGTAAAATTATTTTTGAGATCATATAATCAAACAAGTTCTGCGATACAAAAACACTTTTTTAGAACTCTTCCCAAATATAAGTTTTTGGATACTGTTGTTTTTAAGAAGAGTTTTAGAAAAATGAAATTTAATGTTTTGTGTGTCGCAGAACTTGTTTAGATATATGATTCCAAAAATAATTGTACGGAACAGAAAATAGTAAAACATGTTTGGATAGTAATACAAAAAATAATAAAAACAGAAATGTTGTTTGGATTGATTGTTTCATATACAAAATTTTCAAATTATTAAACTTGATAAAAACTAACATAAATCATCCTATAGTAAAAAAATGCATTTGTACCCATACACGAACATACTTCTCAAATTGAATACTTGTTGTACTCATAATATCATAATACAAGTTCAATATAATACACACCATTATTCGTACATAAGAAAAGTTTCACTCTCACATTATCTTACATCTGCTCATTTCTATAGATTATCTTAAATAAAAAATTGATCATTTCTCCATTATGTTGACAACAAATAAAAACAATAAGCTGAAACACAAGAATACATTACAACTACAATTGTAACATACATAAATGAGTCAATCCTTACAGTTAGGGGTGTCCATGGGCTAGGCCCGCTAAATTTTTTTTGGGCCGGGCCTAGATAGTATAGGCCAAAACCCTTACTCAAGTGAATTATCGGGCCGGGTGGACAGGGCTTAGGTAGGGGTAGGCTACCTGCAGCCCAACTCGCTAGCCTATCAAGCGGGCATGCTCGCGAGTTTTTTTTTATATACAATTTCAGTTAAAAATAATAAATATTTTTGTAACTTAATATTTGTGTAAATTGTATTTTTGAATCAAAAAGTAGAGTCAAAATGGATAAAAATAAAATAATGAATAATTTATTTTTGATTAAGGGATGAACTATATTAAATAGAATGAATACATCCTAACTAAATTGATATTTACTCATTTATCTATCATTTGCATTATTCGACCACTTAAAACTTGTATGCTTAATACATGAAAAAAAAAAATACATTATTTATAGTATCTAAATTTTTAAAACTTCAAATTCCGACATTTAGAGTATAATTTTTTTTCAAAGAAAAAGGGTGGGCGGATTGGGCTTGGCCAACGGTCTCTTGAACTGGGCTTTAACGAGTTTTTTTGGGCCGGCTATTGGGCCTGGTAATGGGTTTGGGGGCAAATTCAAACCCTTTTTTTAAGAATATTTAGTTCGGGCTCGAACGGGCCAACTATCGAGTTTCAGGCCGAGTAACAGGACCAATAAGTAACCCAGTCTATGGACACCCCTTCCGACAGTTGACAATTGAATCCACGATATATTGATATTCATTAACCCAAATAAATAGATGTTTATGGTCTCTACCAACTAGACATCTATAAAAATACCGTCCATCTTTTCTGATTGTACGAGCCCTAAAAACTCTCAAGTGGTCAACTGTCGAACCACATTCACATAAAGGTCCTGTAGCATTATTCATGTGCCTGTAATTTATCAATAAAAATAAAAATACAATTAATATGTATTGCAATCAATATATTAGTTAGATCCAACAAAGATACGAGTTCATATGATCGTACATAAAATATAAAATTCAACATAAATATTACATTAAGCAAGTGATAAACAAGTCGTAGATCGACAACATATTGTCCATATTACATATTGAAGTCTATTATTGATAAAACTTACTTACACAAAAAAAAAATATATTGATAAAAACTTGAAGATATAATGTAAGGTCAACCACCACAAGAAATCGAATCCCAAATATTCCCAACCAGTGTATCCTTGAAGTACGACATAGCATTGAGTTTTGTTGATGACACTCCACTTCAGCGAACCGTTAATTGTTAAAACATTGTCCCTCATTATCTAATGATACGTCTTCAAACTCAAACCTTTGAAAGAAAATGTTTTCAGCCGAGTGCATACGAATAAAATTATGAACGGCACAACAAACAGTTACAATGGTGGATTGGCTGACAGCTTCTCGTAGAACGGCCAGAGCTTTCGTTGAAGTATTAGAAGCCAGATCAAGTCACCAGAGCTGCAAAAACCAGTAGATCTGTAAAAACCAGATTTGTAACGTGTGATCGCATAAACCCAGATTGTAGTTTGAGGCCAGATCTATGAAAATATTTTTACAAAAACCTTTGGTATCTAACATTACAATCCAAACACCACCCTTGTTTGCTGATTCACTGTTTCCTTCCTCTATTCCATCTCTCTTAATTTGGGATGTAATTTAAGTGGATTAAATGTTTTGAAATATTATGACTAGAAATGAGTAAAATAAATTCAATTAAATTTAAATTCAAATAACATTCAAATTAGAGTGTATGATTATATTGATTCAACTTGAATCTATCCCAAATAAATAATTTTGTGTTCAACCAATTAAATCAACCAACTTTGCAAAACGCAAATCATTAATGTTGATAGTACTAAAAATTTATCATAAAATAATTTTCAACTCTAGATTTTACCTTAATTTATTTGGAATCGTTGACAAATAAATAATAAAATAAAATAAACATGAGTAAATAAGGGATTTTAACTTTAAAATAAAATAAAATAATAAAAAAAAATTTTTTACTAGCATTCTAGTTCTCCCCATAAGAGACTTTTGCAATGGACTCTTTGTGATATCTTATATGGGAGGAAGCTACCTTCAGAATTGTGCTTGTTTGTTTGTTAGTTTATTTATTTATTTATTTTTTGTTATACGATGTCCAGACTTACATCGACTACTCTCTTGAACTCTGAGATTGATCACCGTAGATCGAACTACTTTAAGAACATGTCTCCTAAGGAACAAAGGTGGTTAGAAGAGTGTGAAAAGTATTAAAACTAAGATCTCTTACTTGCAAGAGGACAAACTTGACCACCCTAAGGGTTAATTGTGGTTATTAGTTTATTTACATCATCTATATGTAAATTTGTTTGATCCATTTTTAAAGTGAAATGTGTGTCTTTGTGCAATTTTCTTGATATTCGACTTTGTCACATACTTGTTACTTAATACTAAAACTGTTAGTCAGTAAGGATTTTATAAATTTCTTAAAATTGACAAACATATCCTTAATACATTTTACATTCTTAATTTTTCAATACCCACCATCCACCACCATTGTGCCACCAACAACACCGTCGCCGCCGCCACCACCACCACCACAACTGTCGCCCCTATCATCACCACCGTTGTGATGGTGATGGTAGGAATAAAGTAGTTGTAGTGAAATGATTAAAAAGAATGACAAAGTTATAATAATAATAAATTTTTAGACTTCTATTCTTATATTTTCAAACAGTTTGATTCAATTCAATACTTAAATTTTAATAGATATCAAACAGTTTACGAATTAAAAAATTCATCATTTAAAAGACAACATTCAATTTTCAATATTCAGGTTTCAGTTTTATCAAACACCACCTAAGGCTAAATATGATCAAGGGATTACTCTTATATAAGTGTGGCAATCTTTATTCATTATTTACTAAGCTACCTAATTTGCCCATAAATTAATGGGTTGAGTATTAATATTAATTAATGTGGATTTTAATAGGTTAAGTAATAACACTCAAATTAATTAAGCGGGTTAAAAGTGATTACAAATGGGTACTCATTGAATTGAGTATTTATCTTTCTATTAAATAATAAAAATAATCAATACAAATACACACAAAAAAAATATACATTAATACACCAAAAAAATACACACAAAAATTAATATACTTTTTATTTTTTTTGGCCAGACATTATTACATGAGAGAGAGATGACAAAATTCGAACCCGCGGTCTTAAGGTCTAACAGTGGGACCGTGACCATTAAGCCAACAACTAACCTTCAATTATTAATATGTCAAAAAATAAAAAACATATTAATACAATCAAAAAATACATACTAATATACCAAAATATACACTCTAATACACCAAAATACACATGCAAACACATACATTCATACACTAAAATGCAGCGATCATTGGCTTTGATCATGCCACTAGGCATTTGATTAGGACATTGCACAATGATCCAAACACTTTGTCGCATATTTTCGATACGAATACAATAATGATCATAGCGATCCCCTCTGGTACCTACTGGTACATCAAGATCCGATTGGTCATGAACATCGTAAGGTGCTACTCTTGGCGAATCCCAACATACCCTTAGACATGATTTTATTAACTACTTGAAGCACGACAGATGGTCAGAAGAAAGCCACAACAGAACCCAACTTCGTAGGAGGTTGCTCCACTATGTGTATTTCAATGACACTTTATATAGAAAATCTTATGACAAGCAGTAGTTGAGATGTTTGTCTAATGATGAAACAAAGCAAGCCATGCACTTCGTACATTTAGGAGTGTATGGTGCCCACCAGTTTGGGCCAAAGATGCGAGTGAAACTCAAACACACAAATGCGCACACTCACACACACTAACATACTAAAACATACACCAACTGTACGTCACCAAAATATGCACATATGCACACACATACACACTAACGAATACACCAAAAAAAAAACACACACACACACACACTAATACACCAAACAACATGCACATGTATACACAAACACTGATAAACCAAAATAAATACACCAAAACTAATACATTAAAATAGACACACACAAGCTAACTAACTAACACACCAAAATATATATGTATACACTAATACAATAAAATATAAACACAATAATTTACTAAAACACACATATACACACTAATATACCAAAAAAAAATTAAAGGAAATAATTCTAAAAAATATTTCAGTTACTTTATGTAGACTATGTTGTTTCTGACAAGGCATACGCCAGTTATGCTTAAACGTGGATATTCCTAGTATTTTGGTGCCTTCTAGGTTTAACATGTTAGAAGGGTAGAGCCTTGCAGGGAAAAAAGTAAAGACGAGGTTTATCATTTTATTTTATACGTAAAGTGCTGTTCAAGAATATGTTCAAAACACCGAAGCTTGGGGGTGTAGGTGGGTGGTGGAAAAGAACTCTCCCATGACTCTGGCTGCATTTGCGATGAGATCAGTACCCTCCAATACCAGTAGGTAATGAGGTTACATAATGGGGTCAATTACATTGAAAACTACCACAAGGGCCAAAGGAGTTGAGTCAGTTGATGGTACTTTCCGTTATGATCTAACTTGATATAACACCGTTATTAAACAAACAAAATCCATTTTGAATGGGCCCATAAGCAGCTTAACCTGTTTGTCACCTCTACTCTTACAGATACAAAGCTGATTGGGTGGTGCATGACTTATATTTATGGATGCATATTACTTCCCACAATATGACGAGAGACCACAATATTGTGGATATCTTCGTCCGTTTATGTGTACATACTTGGAGGTATTGGAAGGCTAAAAGGTGCTGTGCAATGGGGGCGTTGGGAGCAACTATTACAAGTTGGGTGGCCCATGAGCCTCCCTCATGCCATAGCCTAAGTTCGAAACAACCCCCCAAACAGAAAAAATGAGTCTAATAGAACCTGAGATTGTTCAGTTATAACCAATGATTCAAGTTGAAAACAACCTCAGCATGTAATGTAAAAACGTATACATCTATCAATCCCAAAATCCCATTGGAACGAGGCTCATGCACTACACCTCCTTTTTAAGTTGAATTTAAGTGCTCAGGGTTTTCCATTAACAACTATGGCTTGAGGCTTCAAAAATTGTTATGGCAAAGGATCTGTTTTGGCTCACCTCCATATTTCAGTTTCTGACCCCACTGTTTTATCTTGGGGAGTTTGTTCCTTAGGCACATTCAAAAAGATGCCCCTTCCACCAACAATAGTAACTGCAAAGATGAAGTTTGGCCTATCCACCAAAAACCATAACAGAAGCAAAGATAAAACCAAATATAAGACAATAACTAGATGCACTTTAGACTGGTAAATAAGAAACAAGCATCAATACAACCATAGCACGACGGACTAAACCGACCGTATCTGTCTCCTCTCCTCTTTGTCCCTATTTCTAAGGAGAGGGAGAAATAACAAACTCCCTCGGTACGCTAAAGATATCTTTACCAGCAAAAGGCGAGGTCCACTCACGCATACCCACAGACGATGTTGCTTCTGTTACCCTCCCACCATCCTGCAAGCCTGGGATGTGCATGCCATTTGCACTGGCAACCCTCATTGAAGAAAGCCCCAACATCAACGCATTTGACTTACCTGGCATCAACCCACTTGATTTTAAAGACGATGACTTTGATTCCAAAGTCCAGTCTATACTGTTGTAATCACAGTGAGACATGTCACCCGTGTTCCAGTCAACATGAGAATATGAACCAACAGTACCAGTTGTACCCCAACCAGAAAATAGTCCAAGAGAGGATGGCACCTTAAGGGATGGAGAAGATGCACCCATAGCACTCCATGAGATGCCCAGACGGGCTTCTGCAGGATCCACTGAGCTGGACATGTGTTGTGTATAAGGAGTCTGAAGGTAATATGGATGTGAGCTCAAATTATCTGGCCCCAGACTTCTAGTGCTCTGAGATTGTGGATTGAAGTGTTGCATAGTCAAACTTTCAGGGCCAAAGGTTCCTGTGGATTGATTGTGCAGAAACTTACCACTTAGCTTCATACTTTCCCTATCCAGAGCAGTATTTGCATACCATCCACTGGTCCCAGGAGGAGAAGCACTTATGCTCGTAATTGAATTCTGCTTCATATTTTGAGATTGCGGCCGCTGCATCATAATTACTGGCTCCCTCATCACTCCATGTTGAATAGTTCTCCCTTCATTTCCACTGACCCTAAGCTGAGAGCCCATTTTTGCTGATGAAGATGCTAGTTGTAGGGGAGCTTCCACAGCATATGAGACAGATGAGCTTAAGCCGGTTGCAGGCCACCCCTTCTCTGCAAGTAACATAGGCTGATTTGCTTTTGAAGCCTGCAGGCTTCTAGTCCTAGGTTCTGGAATTGTTGGCCCTGCAACTGCCCTCTTGACATAGTTAATTTCCCTATCATTCCTATTCGGTTGTTTTGTAACGGTAGCAGTAGGCTTCTCTTGTACTCTCATAGAGAGTTTCACATTGGCCTTCTCCTCCGGCTTTGGTGGAGTAGTAAGTGGTTCCGGCTTCTGAGCTCTCAAGGTTTCTTCTACTTTGCCAAGATCACCCTCACAAGCAACAACAGCTCTTTCAACGTCCTGTTTTGACAATTTGTATGCTACCTCCATAGCTGCAATCTGAGCAAGCTCTTCATGTACATCAATTTTTAAGTTATCCTCATTTCCAAGATCCTTCTTCTGAGCTTCATCTGCACTTCCCTCAAATAGCCAGTTGACAGATTCCTCTACTTTGCCCTCGTTCAGTATAAGGGCCAAGGTTGCCCTCTCAGATGAGAATCCCATCGCCACAAGTTGCTGGGATAACGATTCCAGTTTTCTGGACATAAGGTAACCACAGCAGCGCTCATGCAACTCTTTTGCCCGCCGCTCCTTCTGACGGTGGTGCTTTCTCTCATTCTTCTGACGGATCTTTTCTCGCTTGTCATTGTCTGATCCGGGGATCATTTCTGGTGGTGGATCTGTACTAGTTGCCTTCTCTCTATTGTCTTCCGATTCACCAGAGAAGCTTCCATTGTTGGATATCGAATCATAGTCTGCTGCCGTTTCATGTGAGCTACCAGAGTGTGTGTCCGTTTCATCTATATTCTGGAAACGACCATTGCTCTGGAGGGGTTGGGAGAAGGTCAATGGTGCTGTATCTAGAGTATGAAATGTTCCAGAAATCGGATTGTAAGCACTTGCAGGATTTCCATTCCCCAGGTTAGTAGATCCAGAGGGTTTGGAAGAAGCCTTCTGTTGTTCCTTGGAGGCCCTTGCAGAGGGCTGTTCCTTGAACTTGGACTTAGATTTTGCTGCGGGAGGCATGTCTCTAAATTTCAACTAGCTGCTATATTCCTGCAACAATTTAAAAAAAATTTCCTTTAAACTTCCTTGTCTTGAGTACTGACTTCAAACAAATGCTCACAGCACATGGAGTAGTCCATCGTTAATCATTTGTAATGCACTTAAAACATATTGGAAAATGTATAATTTCTAAGTAGTGCAGTAAATGTCATTTTTCAGTCCTTCTAAACAAAGATAAAAAGCAAACTGAAACAGTAAACGATATTAAAGAAACATTGATAAAAACTTGAAAAAAATAGATATCTCCGTAGGTGCCTTAGCAAGGTATCTATTCCCTTTTTTTTTTTTTTTAATAACATTTAGCAAGGCAAAATGTTTTACTTGCAATATACTGAAAAATACAAAGCAGAAGGGAAGTAGAAAGGATGTTTCACTGTTTTAAGATGCTATCCCAACTTGCAGAAGATGGGGAAAGGCATGATGGAGAAATGACAATGATAATTGATGATAATGCCAAAGGAGGCCATAAGAACATGAAATTATGAGCCAGATTGTCCCTTTTTATATCTATGCTAATGCAGAATTTTCAATACTTGCAGCATCTCAGTTTCATAAAAAATAAAAAAAAAACAAACAAACAACAAAAATGCACCGAATTTGAAAGGACGGTTTAAATGCTCAAATCGATCATTTAAACTTCATGCAGAAAAGTTTAAGACATGCAGAATTTTCAATACTTGCCAACATTTCAGTTTAATAGAAACAAAAATGCACCAAATTTTAAAGGATGAGATGTTTCAATCCTTTTTAATGTGTTTGCTAACAGTGATCATTTGAAATAAATATATGTATTGAAAAAAAGGCTGTCAGGCCTTATTTGGAAATACGATCCAATAAGACAAGAAAACTTTCACTAAATGATCAAAAACTAAAACCATCAATAACCATTTAATTTGGTTACCCATTTCAATGTGTTCCACATCAACAGCTAGAGTAACAGGTTCCAACACTGATTCCTGATAAAGGTCAATACTGCCATAGAACAAATCATCCAATGTCCAATTGGGTAAGGTGTCCCAAGGGCTACATCGGCTTAACTAATGCAGTAGAGCTAAAATTCATGAACCAACTGGATATACAAGATGAATTTGAAAGGCTTCGACTGACGAATGGTCTCTCTAAAACTATTACAGGACTCCAAGAAGCCCTAATTCAGAATAAGGCTAATCATGCATGTAACAGCCAAGGTCAAAAATGATAAATAATGATAACAATAATTATTATAATAAAGTAACCACTAAAGCATAATTAGTGTGAGTGGGGATTAATTTGTAATTTATATAACAAAGGGGAGCTAAGTAAATTTTTTGTAAAACTCACTACTCAAAAAGATGGTGGATTGGTTTCATGATATAAGGCCTTTTATATTAAACACCAAATGCCCTAGAATGCATTTGGGAAGCAGCCGCCACTTATAAGGTTGAGAGAGAAAGAGAGGTCATTGTGACCTCATATATTCTTATAAACTCAATTTTGACCACTTTTTTACTAGGTAAATTACAAGGATTGACCTCAATAGTTTTAAAACAAACTTTATCATTTCAAAACAACCCTTGAGGATTGGAAAGTTTTTGAAATTTTAAAACAACCCAAAAAGTTTCGGTTATGTTTCCAAAAATCATGGTTTTTCCATAACGAATCAAATCAACGTTATACTGTCCAAAATAGGTCTATAGAACTTTAAAAAAACATTCTGAAAATTTAATAGCAGTCCCTAAAACAGAAAATTCATTTTTTTTAAAAATTACACTTTTCTCCAAGTTTCAAAAATTATAATTTGACCGCAAAACTTTAGAAACTTTTTTTAAACTGCACCCTATTATCTCATATTAAAAAAGTTATTTCAATGTAAATGATATATAAAGAATATTTAATGGGTAAGAAGTACGAAAATTAAGTATAGAATCTCAATATTACGAAATTAGGAATTGGAATTGATAGTTACAAATTATTTTGAATTCGGTGGTAATTACATTGAGATTGGGATAGAGTGTTTTGAATTGGAATTCGGGAACCAAGATGAGTAGTTTACTATTTCTTTTGGGAGAATTTTTTATATTAAACATGTGTGGGATATTTCATAGTTATACTATATATGTTGATGTTTAGGGTTGGAATCAAATGTTTTACAACTAATTGCTTTCAATTTGATTATTCGTGTGGACTTTGGAAAACATGTGGGATGACTTTATGTCATTATTTAAACGTGTTTTGGTGATAAAAGGGGAAATTTTGTTTGTGTTGGAAAAAATGATGGTTTTGGGGTGTGTGCGTGTTAAAAGTGAGTGTTTATTCATGTGGATTTTGGGAAATACGTGGGATGACTTTATTTTATTACTGAAATGTTATTTGATGACAAAAAAGGAAATTTGTTTGTATTGGGAAAAATTATGGCTTTGGTGTGTTAAAAGCATATTTTATGAGACAAGAACTAGATTACCAGGTTTGAAAGGTAACAAGATTGGAGGGATACCAGTGTGACCGGTATAGGAATGTGTACATAAGGACCAGTCGGACCAGCCATTAGGCTAGTAATGACAAGCGACGGGACAGTTACTAGACTAGTGATAACAAACATGAGATGGAACCTAGCTATCAGACTAAAGATAGCAAATGTATTTGAAATTAAGTGTGTGAGTGTTTGGGTTATAAATGTATTTTCATTTATAATGATATTTGTGAACATGAGATTATTTTGTTTAAATGATTATGTGAGAAAGGCAGGGGTACAATTTGTGATACTTATGTGTGTATCAAGGTTTATTTCTTGTATATAAACTGTGAGACTTATTTTTATACGAAGGTGGTTGTTACTCATGGATCGTCGTACTCATAAAAACATTTAACATTTTTCGATGAGGATCAGAGTGAAGAGTAAATCTCGAGTCAAACAAGAACTTAGAAAACTTGAAGATTTGTATTAAGTAGGTCTTCATACATAAGTGTCATTTATGAATTTGAGATACTGTATTTAATTATTTTGAAAATGATATTTAAATTTTAGAGTTGTAAACCTTAGGGTTTGGACATGGAAGTACTTGTGGTTTACTAATGATGTTGGAAGATATTTAATTTATTCCTCTGGTATGCATAAGGTATGTGGATTGGATAATTCTATCATTAGTCTTCCACTACATTTTGCATTTGATATGCACCGGGGTTGATAAGCTAAGGCCTTGATGGCCAGTCCACCCTACGTGATCCAAGGTGAGGTTGTGACAATGCAACTGCAAGTAGGTCTTTTAGTGAACCAAAAGTGTGCAAGAGGAACACACCACCATAACAAGCCTTGAGTTCACGTGCTACTCTTTACATCCAGTATAAAAACACTCATTCGTATACAATTGGCCAATATAAAATCATAATGCTAGAGCTATCTGGATGGACTGTTATGTGTTATCCAGTGCACAAATCTAATTCTTCATTTTCATTTTTGCTCCTGAGAGAGAAACATGAATCCAGCATGCTTAATTAGGGGCTTTAACATCATGTTTAAATTGTTCCAATCAAACTTATTATTTTAAATAATCAATAAAAGTTTCATTAGAAGGCACCGAAAGAGGATGCAGTCCATATACACAAGGGGGTCGTTTGGATGTTGTATTAAGAAAAAAGTGATTGCACTAGGAAATACAAGACAATTCTGGATAGATAGATAAAATTTAAGATTACGAAGAGGATAAAGATAATACCAATTCTAGTCGAGCGTTTGTTAAGCACGAGATTAAGAGTTGGATAATAAGTATCAAAGCTAATATAATGTTTGGTTAGGTAATTTATTCAATGGTATTAAATGAGTGAACTGAAATGCCCTCAATCATCTCCAAGTTGATCCCTTATAGTTATCTAATATTTTGTAGAAATGAAAAAAATGAATGATCACATGGATTTTTCTTAGATAAGAGTAAAATCATAAAATAATGATACAACACACTTAGGTTGTATTATAATACCACCTATCAGGGTGGTATTAAAATAACTCAATAGTACGGATAAATTGTATTAAATTATCCATATGTGATACTTATCTAGTTAATCTAATATATAATACGAAGTGATTTTTTGCATTCAAATATAATATAATATAAAGTTGTATTAAAGCATTTTAATCCAACTCTTAATAAACCATATAATACAATAACCAAACGACCCCTAGGTGCATATGGGTCAATATTGACATCCTAGAATCACGTTCAATTTGATAAGCGCTAGAAAACAAGCTGCTTACAAGGATGAAGGAAAAAGAAAAAAAAAATGGAATGAATATCAACAGTAACCAGGGTTGCCCAGACAACTTTTTTCCAATCAAATAATGGGCTGGCTTTCCTCCAAAATATGATACATGATAATTGATAACGCGAGAAGAAAGGAAAAAGAAATGAACAATATTCCACTCGAATCAACTGATCAAGACATATACCAATTTCAATAAATTCTCATATATCAATCCAAATTCAAAAGCAATGTCACGACCGCACAACTTCCCAAAAACTATCTCCATCTATACTTGGTCCAATCCACAAAATAGGAACCAGCCCGTGCCACATTCTTATCCCTACACGGATGAACAATAAAAAAACAAAAATAAATGTTGAACAAACCCATGCACACAAACTCATGAACCCAAGATGTTTAACAATAAAGGCGACCAACATGGATCTAGGGGCACCGACTGCCACCCACCCTTTAGGCTTGAAAAACTTCTTAACAAATATTAATAAATACAAAATGATCCTCACAATTCGAGGAGTTCACTCCCCCTCCCCCAAAAAAAAAACCCAAAAAACGAAATGAATTTCAATTTCCATAACTGGTCCTCCCCAAAACCTGTCGGAAGAATTCATCCATGAAGGATACACAAACCAGTGAATAGAAATGGACCCAAAATAATAGATCAAATTCATCTACATGAAAATTCAGAGAAATGAAAAAATAAAAAATAAATAGCATCAAAAATCAAAAAACACAAATTTGTAAGCATCATAACAACATATACCAA